CCGATCAAAATAGAGAGTGTGGTGTGTGTTGTGTGTGAAGGAGGCGGAGTACAGACAAAAGTAAATGAGCAAGCAATAGACTTGGTCGAAGTTAGAACATCCGATGAGTGAAGCAAAGAACATCGGGAGCTTCCCAAAACCTCCAACTACGGAACACTTCACGCAACGGAAACCGAAAGAACAGGCGTCGTCGTCTTTCGGAAAAGCTTACAAACTTACTTACTTTCACCAGCGAGTGGGCAGCTAAAGAGGAATACGAGGTAGTGTGTCAACGTGCCCAACGTCTTTTCAAGGGGGGGTGAAAAACTGCGGGCCGGCGTATCTCCAAGGGGGGGTGTCAAAAACGGGCCAGAAATCATCTTTACAAGCAGCCATTTACTCTACCTAATGTAAAAAAGTAGAACCAGCAACGAGATTGAGCACACTCGAGGTGTGCGAAGGTTGAGGATATGTGCACAACAAATGTAAGACACTACGCGATCGACTACTGCATGTGCAGTTCTGCTCAATTGAAAAAAAGGGAGTTTCAAAAAACACACCTTTTTACGCCCTAATTACGCCGGAAAACCTTTTATACGCCGGAAAAATTTTAACGCGGGTAAAACGACTAATACACCATTTAAGACGCTAGCGTCTTAGCGCCAAAAAGACCTCCCAATTTATTACCGTCTTCTACGACAAAAAGTCGGGAAGATTGATTACATTCCCTAAAGTACAAAAATTATAGCATGATTTGATTATATAAACCCAAAACCGGACTTGTTTACTTACATTACTGGGAAAATTAGAAGACTGTATGGTAATTAGATACTTTGAGTTTCTCTTAGTCATACTGTTAAAATTTATTTAGACGACGGTACATGAAATTTCCAGGGTACAGTAGAGCGAAAAGGACCAATAATAGACAGGGGCAACACGAATACTTTCGAAAAAGATGTACATTTGCCAGGGACGTCTCAGTGTTTGGGAGTTTCATGTGGGACATAGCGGCTCGTTGCAGGATGTGTGTCTTTTCGTGGAACAGGTACGAGCGGCGGGTCTTGCGGAAAAAGGTAAAGGAAAGAGGCTCTTGGTTGCACTACATTTTGCTGCTAGGTTTTACCTGGTTAGGCTCCTCGAGGAGTGGTGTGTGTATGTGTGTGTGAGCCGTCGGAATAAAAAGAGTCGACGGTCGAGGCGCCCTAAAGAGGTCGGACCTGAGTCGGACTCTGTCGTCCGTGTGCCGGTTCCGGGCCAGGCTCGCGTGTCTGTCTGGGTGCGGACACACACCACGAGGCGGCTGCGAGCCCGGCCGGAACGCACTGGGGTGCGTCGTTGGTCTTTGTTAGGGGTCATTAGGTCAGTGTGACAGGCGTAGGTCGTCGACTCAGGGGTCGGTTGTCCGTGGGTCTGGGGTGCGTCGTAAGAGTAGACGAAACAGTAATGACCACAGTAAAAGACCAACGATTTGTTGCGGTAACGCATTGTGCATTAGTGACTACAAGGGACATTGCCACCACCTGGTAGTCTCGTGTCACCCGGTGTCCCTCCCCCCACGTCCTCGAGGTCGGTTCGACAAATCCTGTCTCACTTATGCTGTCTCTACGCACATACTCTTGTGGTTACACTAAAACCTTTTTAACGTGTTACATTTAGATAAGATCATCTGGAGTTGTTTACCTTAGGGATACTAGTCAACAATAAATAAACATTGAATTTGTTTAATTTAATAGTAAAGGGGTTTAACGTTAGTGGTAGGTTGTGTGTGAGAGAGAATACATAAGACAGCCCAATATTTAAAAAAATTGTGATTATTTTTTCCCGCATATTTAGCATATTTCGCAACTTTCCGCATATTTCGCAACTTCCCGCAATTTCACCGCATAAAATCACATAAAAACCCCACATGTTTAATCGCATAATCAAGGATTTTAGCCCGCATAATCAAGGAATTTAGCCCGCATAATCAAGGATTTTTGCCCGCGTTTTTCTGGAGGGTCTAATTATTGCATGAAAAAATAGGTTTGAACAATTATGAGAATATTTGTTTTCCTTCTTCTTGACTGATCAGCAACTATACCGACTGTTAAGCCCTTTTAAAGGACTTCTCTATTTGACTGTAGCTTTAACTTTGTGTAAGACTCTGACGAAAATAAAGGTATTGTAAAAAACTACATTTATAAACATACAGACATAAGCTGCTTTTCCTAGCTTTTGTTTCCATTATCTCACCAAAAATAGATGTGAGGAGGGCTCCAGTGCCAGAAGCCAGCATCTGCTGCACCGGAGAGATGGCAGCCACAGAGCCGCTGACCGCCCGCTCCCCCATCCTGCCCACCTGTCAGACCAAAGAGAATCAAAATAAACCCTCACAGTAGGAACACTTTGTTCTCTAACTAACCTTCACAGAGCTGTTTTTTTAAACCATGTGGAACTCTTGTAGCCAGGGGTCTATTTCTCATTGATATGTACAAAAACGAAATAAATAATGGTTGTGTCCTGCAGCTTCAGAAACCTAACCAAACCTAACCTAACCAATGTGGAAGGCTCCTAAAATGATACAAGTCAGTGTATTGGCAACACATGTCACATTAAAAAAAGTTATTCAACAAAGTTAACCAAAATGTCCTCCTTCAAAGAAATTGCATAATATTCACTGTAATAGAGTCAGACATATGTTAATGTGAGCTGACTAGGCGTAGTTGTTATATTGTGGTCATTGACACATTATGATAGCTTATCTACACCGTGCAGGCACCAAGCAGACAGTGAGAGCCTCACCTCGCTTTTTGAGGGAATGGGTTGTAACATATAAATACATATTTAACATTAAATACTGAAATGGAACAAAGCAAGTTAAAGTCAACTTGGAAATGTCTTCATGGAAGTAATGTCTTAGTTTGAATAAGTGTTTTTGTTCAAATCATAAACAGGGTTAACAAATCCATAACAAGCAGCCACAATGTTTAAGATAATATTTTACAGAAAACAGTGACACTTTCTTTAGTGTTTCCTGCGTGTCTTGTTGCCATGTGTCCTCCTTTACCTATAGTAGTTATTGATGTATTTACATTTAAATATGACAGTCACTTGGCCCTGAGGGTTTTGCATTAAAAAAACTAAACAAAAAATGTCTCTAAAAGTCTCATAAAGTCAAAACTATTTTTACAATCAAAACCTGAAATGATAACATTTAAAATAGGTACTACTACTACTACTACTACATTTAAAACATAGTAAGAATTGTATTTTTAACCCCTCACTTAACATTTCACTAAATATATTTGATTGTTAACTAAATGAACTAAAATACTGCCATCAAGGAAATTTTTGGGTATAATATGATGTCAATAAATATTAGACAAAATTGGAATTACAGTTTCTTAACTAAATAGAAACCAGGTTTAAATTAAAATCCAACACTACTGAGTTTTCTTTAGAAAGATGTTTATGCTGATATGCAGCGGAAGCCATAAAGTGCATTTTATGACCAGCAGACACTGAATGTGTTTGGGGCATGGGGTGTTTCACCTTCACAGCGTTGCTTCGTCACAATGTTAGCTAACGACACTCGTGTTAACGCAACAACATTTGATGGCTAGGTTGTTATTGAAATCTGAAACTCAATCAATTAAATGACCTGGTGTTAGCTGTGTGTACCGTGTTTGTGAGAAATCCTTTAATGGCACACTGTGTACTTTTTGTATCCACCATAAGCCAACTGTCGAAGTGTCAGAGACATTTAGCTAACAGTGGCTAGCTAGCTTTCCAGGCAACGTTGTTGGATTGTAAGATTAAGCTACTCACCTCTACTGTAGCTCCCAGCGTGTCTGTGAAATAGAGGGCTCTCGGTCCATTTCAGGGTAACGTTGACACATTTAAGAGCTAACGTTTAAGCTACTCTGTCGTGCTGCAACTTATTCGGGTTCTCCACTGCAGATAACATGTTTTGGAGTCGGGCTTAGGTCGCTGCGGGGGCACTGGACAAAATGTACTCTTCATTAATCTGTACAAAACTTCACTCAGCGATAGTGTTGTGTAGTGCTGAAGAAAGACCCATCCGCGCTTTGTGGAGATCTGCGGTAACATGTCCGGTTCGTCGGGCCCCGCCCCCTCCCGTGCTGTAGCTCTGCCGCCGCCTGGTGGATATGTCACCACATGTCCACTGCCGCATGTAAACAAGTTTGGTTAACGCTTAATACCGAGTGCAACCATAAGTGCAACATATTGCATAAATACTCGGGACTGGAGTTCACGATTTGTTGTATTGACTGTGTACCAGTAGGCCTACAGTGTGTACCATAGGCTACTACATGTAAGTACTTGGGCACAAGATGCGAAGTATTGGATTCAGGGCATAACAGTTTTAGACATAATGACCATAGATGAACTGTTTTATGTAAATACTATCCTTTTTTTGGTATTACTATAAGTTATGTATGTCCTACAGTACAGAGTACAGAGTCATTCTACAGAAAAGGTGGAAGTACTGTCACTTACTTTTGCAGACACCAAAATACATAACGTTGACCTAATACTCACATTCATTATGTTGAATAAATATAGATTGTCTTTGCGATGGTACTAAATAAAAAATAAATAAAAAATGGTTTTATACATAAATTGCAATTTATTTAAAATGTCAAGTTCAAGGAACTGCCTTGTCACTATGATCATACATGGAAGTGGAGCCTATAGTTTAAATTTAAAAGATTTTTTTCAATAAATAAATCAAACTAATACTGTCAATGACTTACTCTGTTTCAGTATTGGTAAGCTAGGGGCTGTGCGCGACTTGCAAAACCTACAAACTTTACCTCAAAAACGCTAAAGTTACGCCCTCCTCTTCGCGCCGTTTTATTCAGCCTGCCTATTATTTTGAAAAGCACGCATCTTAATTGTCAATCAACCTTTACGACAATGTCGTAAGGGTGATTTATTTTCGGCAAACACATCATCATTGTGGTTACTGCATTAAAACCCCACTGACTGGTAAATAAATATAATAATTATGTCTTCAAAACGCGCAAAAAAATATGTGTAAAGTCACAATATACATTACGAACATTATAATTACATNCAAAGACATAAGGAAAGTCAGATACTTCTTACTCTGTTTGTTAAAGGTGTCATTTTATCTTCAAATGTTACGTGTGTCTTTCAAGTCTGTCATTAGTGTTACTCATTGCATAGCCCTAGGGGTAAACATTTGAATGGGAAAATGTATTGTATTGAAGAGTTAAACGATTTTGATATTGACTGAAGCCATATTTGGTCTGACACATTGCAGCCATTTTGTTAAAATGGTAGTGTTTTCTCCAAATTGTCACTGGTGTTACCGTCACTGGTGTTACTCTTCTTTCTGGTAACACGTCGTAACACCAGTGACATTCCTATACAAAATAAGCTTTGTATAATGTATAAAAATAATAATAATAATTTAAGCTCTACTTGTTGTGGATTCATCAAGTTAAGAGTTAGTTATTGCTATTTAACAGGTTTTAGATGTGTTTAGAAGGGATATAGTTCAGCAGATTTGTATCACCCAGATTCCACCTTTTCTGTAGAATGACCCAACTACACATTCACGTCTGAGATAAACTTAGAGATCATGTATAATTAGGTTACTTTTAAATTAGGCAGTGCACCTTTCTCTGTAATACCAGGCTGGACTACGCATGACCTACTGAACAATAATCTGTATGGAATCATTATTGTTCTTGTCGCTTATTTTTAACATGCACTCAGTTAAAATATTATGCCTTTTATATTGTACAACAATAACATAATAAATATAACACTTAATTATTTTAAATATGATATTTCACATACATGCAAAATAAGAAAATTATCCCGCATTTCACTGGATTTGTATGTAATTTAGAGAAAGTAAATGTGGAATTGTATTTTTAAAAAGCTGATGACACCCGAGCCGCTGCAAGGTACTCTGGGAAAGTAATCTCTCTCGCTCTCTCTCTCTCTCTCTCTCTCTCTCTCTCTCTCTCTCTCTCTCTCTCTCTGGCTCTCTCTCTCGCTGTCTGTCTCTCTCTCTCCCTCTCTCTCTCTCTCTCTCTCTCTCTCTCTCTTGGGGGAGTGTAAGAGACGAAACACCATTGCATTTGTGTTATTAGGTCGCGAGACTCTTGTACTGTAAAACACCTGACCTCTCACCACAGACAATCAGCCTTTTACAAGGTAAGAGCAAAACAGACTTCCCCTTTTAGCGACTGTCATGATACTTAACAAATGTGAGTGAATTGTAAACCTATGACAACGATTCACACACACAGCACTAAAGGCTACTCAAAGTTTTAGATTGTTTTGGTTGCAAATTATCATTGCAAAATAACGACTGGACTAAACACTTTCAGGAAGTAAATGAAGACAGAGCTAACTCTCAGGTTGAATTGCATTTTTGTTTTCGATGTTTTACTTACTTTAAATGTTTGAAAAGACAATACGTTTTTGACAGGCAGCCACAAGTTAAGGACTGCAGATGGAAATGAGCTATTGGTTAAAATCTGACATAAATTATGTATTCTCTTTTCTGAGACTAATGTATTTGTATGCATGGTTAAATAAATACATAAAACAAAAACAAAAAAAGTGAATATGATTATCTACAGTAGGCCTATGCGTTTTTGTATTTGCCTACCAGCAGCTTTGGCAGAAGTGAAAGTAAACATGTTATTTCTGGATTGGGAGGGAGATTCCAAATGCACATACTTGACTTTCCTTGTTGCCTGTCCCTTTGTGCAGATGCAGAGCTGGGGTGTGATCTGCTGCGCTCTGCTGGCTCTGGTTGGTGCTGAGGAATGTCCAGATGGAGCCAGATGTAAAGACGGTCAAACCTGCTGCAACGACCCGGTCAACGGCTATGAATGCTGCCCGTTTGATCAGGTAGACGTGGTTGAACTACCTTCATGTTCTCTTCATAAATTAACCTCATCATACAAAAAATCTAAACAAAATTAATCTACCTGTAACTGACTTGCTTTTGTAGTAATCCTACTGCTGAGTTAAGATTTTAGGTGGCCATTTAACAACCTCATTATCCCCTAAATACCTTCAAAGTTACAACATAAACACTTTCAACCAGAAGGTTGTGGGTTCGATCCCAGCCCATGCAGTCAACATGTCGATGTATCCTTGGGCAAGATACTTAACCCTGAGTTGCTCCCGATGGCATGGCCAACGGTGTGTGAATGTGTGTGAATGTTAGGTCCTAGAGTAAGGTACACTGCTCTGTATGAATGGGTGTGAATGGGTGAATGACATGTAGTATGTAAAGCGCTTTGAGGGGTCTTAAAGACTGGATAAAGCGCTATATAAGTACAGTCCATTTACCATTTACCATTTAATAAGTAGGTCTATTGTGCACCCGTCTGATCCGACACTTTACTGATTCTTACACTAAGATATTCAGAAGAAAATACGCATAATAATGATATATTGTGAAAATAATACATCATTTCGCATATAATTTAATTAAAATGTTAATAGTTTTTCAAACAGTATGCACAATATGTTTTTGTGAAAATAGACCTGTAGGTGTGCATTATAAAGTTTAAGTGTGTTGTGTGTTTTGTAAAATAGTAATATCATAGTGTAGAAATATACTGTTAAATAAAGTTATTGACACATTTTTTTAACCATAGCTTGATCATTTAAACAAGGGATTAATAAAGCACATCCAAACCTATCACAATACACCGCAATTAGTTGTTCATTATATTTTGTATTTTCTATGCCTCTGAATGGTAATGTATTAGCAGGATATTTAAATACCCATGGATAGTCATAATTATACCTACTGTAAGTAAGTACATTACTTGAGTATAGGTGTCCTTATTTACCCCCAATACATTTTTTAAAACAAGCATTGAAATAAATAGCTTACATGTGCAGTTAAGAGAAAATAATACCAAAAAGAGCATGAAGGATTTGCACCCTGTCAAGCTAAAACTTTGAACGCATTTGAATCAGCTAAAGTTATTGCTCCGTGTTGTAAGGCTGCACAATTGACTTAACAAGATAACCCTCTGTATATATAAAGTATTTCAGCTGAATGTATGGCCCTTTGTCCCACACATAGTTAATTAGAATATTTGATAACCATAGTCTAGTACTCTTAAGTAAGAATAATGACAGCTACAGTTGTACTATTCATTCTAAGTGTTGTGTTACCGCTTTATGGGCCAGATAAAAGCTCATCCCTCATTTAGCTAACGTGATAGCAGTTCTAATACTTTGGTAGTCAAAATGTATCTACTACTACTGTCCTCGTAGGCTGAGTGCTGTGCGGATCACATGCATTGCTGTCCTTCGGGGACTCTCTGTCATGCGGAAACGTTCAGCTGTTTGAACTCTACTGGCTCCATCCCCTGGGTGGAAAGAGCTTCTGCTGATCAGCCCGGAATCTCCAAAGTAAGAATAAAATATATATGGCTTTATGATGAAATACTGTGTGACAGTTTTACATAAAGGTTAGTTCTCTCTTTCCTTCCCTGTCCCTGCAGTCCTTCAGGATGATCAAGGCGTTCATGGGGGAGGAGGAAGACAACATCTGTCCTGATCAGTCTCGATGCCCACCTGAGTTTTCCTGCCAGAGGGCTCTGACCAGGTTTGGTTGCTGTCCCCTAGCTCAGGTAATCTATCCTAGTCCAACAGCTGAATCTGCCCCATGATTTGGACCCGCTCCAACTGTTAATGAGTTATTCCTTGTCCCTTGGCTACAGCCCTTGACCTAGTTCATGAAATCTTGGCCAGTAATTTTTTCAAAATTCTAAAACCTAGATCAAACCTATGATGTTATATTACAATATTATAATGTTTGTAGTTAGTTGTAGTTTTCTTTCACAAGAAATGCTAACAGGTCATTTAGGTCACAAAGTAGTGAATACAAAAATAAAACCCAGTAAAAGAAGAACAGGAAAATTAAGAACAAAACTATGATGTCCATCGAGTTCAGTGATAAAGAACTCGTACGGTAATATTTTTTAAATTAGTATGTAATGTAAACGGTGTTTTCCATAATCTTAGTT